CAGGATCATCACTTTAGACGACTTTAAGGTCGTCTCTTTAGACGACTTTAAGGTCGTCTATCTTTAGACGACTCTTTAGACGACTTTAAGCTCGTCTCTTTTGACGACTTCAAGGTCGCCCTCTCACCTTTAGGCCCCTCTCTTTTTAGACGACTTTAAGGTCGTCTATCTTTAGACGACTTTAAGGTCGTCTATCTTTAGACGACTTTAAGGTCGTCTATCTTTAGACGACTTTAAGCTCGTCTCTTTAGACGACTTTAAGCTCGTCTCTTTAGACGACTTTAAGCTCGTCTCTTTAGACGACTTTAAGCTCGTCTCTTTTGACGACTTCAAGGTCGCCCTCTCGCCTTTAGGGCCCTTTCTTTTTAGACGACTTTAAGGTCGTCTCTGTAGACGACTTCTCAAACTTTAGTTGCTACCTCCCTACCTCTTGTATATCGTATTTTTATGTCAACTTATCTGTTTATATTCCAGGCGGGAGTAAATATTTTTCTAAACTCTGACAGACTTAAATAAACGGATTTATTTTATATGACAATGTAGTGAGATCAGCTGTAGAGGGCGAGGAGGAGAGTCAGAGAAACCGAATAGTTGCCTGGGGGCATATTTAATGCGAATTGCACGATAATGTTAGGAAGAAGAACGACCGGATGTGTTGCGTCTGAATGAATGAATGAAGGAACTTTTGAATGGATCAATTGGGATGAAATAGCTTATTTAAAATACAAAGAAATCTTCGAATCTGCAAAAAGTGAAATTCCCATTGTTATCACTTGCTGTGTTATACTTTCCAATTCTTGAAACCCATTTGCGACAGCTTTAAAGCCGCAATCAATGTAGGAATTACAAAATAGATACATGTTTATGTTTTTTTTTTTTCTTATTTTTCTTCAGCGATTCATTCATTCATATTCGCAAGTGGTTTCGATAAAAATGGTTATGATGATTATGTCATTGAATGATTTTTTTTTCTCTTCTTATTTTTTTCTATTTTTATTCAATAAACTAATGATAAAATTTCATTGTTGTTGCTGGTGCTGTTCTTGCTTGGAATATGCGCTGGCGGCTTTCGGCATTTGTTCAACAATTTGCATAATAAATGAATGTTAATACGATTAAAAGTTATTTATCCGCTTTGAATAGGTGAACCAAAAAAAAACACCACCACCACCGCAAAAACAACAACAACAACAACGCAGCATACATTATACTGAATGACTTATATCCACAAAAAGACACCTTTGTGTACAAACTTGTATGGGCTGGCTATGTGGATCATTAACCCAAAGAAATTCTCAATTTGAATCTGTATTGTTTTCGTACACCTCTCTGGTCCATCCAACCAACCATTCATCCATCCACCTACACTACACATATAGCTTTTTTTGATTGCCATCCACCGTCACCATCAACCGACCGACCGACCGTATGTTGTATGATGTGGAGGTGCCTCTTTATCGTCATATTTGTTGTTTATGACGGCTTTAGTAGTGCTGTCTGTGATGACAGCGGGTGGAGGAGGAGGGATCGCGTAGTTGTAGTGCATATTATTGCTCTAAATCTAATCAAATCAACCATAACACACTCAATCCAATTAAAATAATTAATGTTTTTTATATTTTTTTAAGAAAATTTGCCTCATGTGACAAATTGCTCATGAGAGGGCAAGAATGTCATCAAACTTGTCTGAAGAAATGAAAAAAACATAAAATAGTACAAGTTGTGTGTACACCTTATGCGTAGCTTTGAGAGATTTTCACAAGGTGGACATTGAATTGACTTGAAGATGCAATTCGAAACGTTGTGATTGGAATTCTAGAATGACATTCGTAAATTGGTACATACAAACTGGAATGGGAGAATTCACTTCGAATTTATGAGATTTTTTCGTATTATTTAATGTGAAATTTGATACAAAATAATTTAAATGTTTTCAAATTAAAAATGGAATAACTTAAAGTTCAAGTGCAATAATTCGGATTAAAAAATTAAAAGTAATTCTTTCAAAAAAAGTTTTGAATTGTGGGTATTTAATCCTCAGAAAAAAATTTTTCGACGGTTTTGCATAACCTCTATGTATATAACGATACCGCCCGATATTCGGTGGAACTTAGAAGCATTTTTAAAAGAAGATTTTAAGGACGTCTGTGCAATGGATGCTAAGGTCGCAAAGAGGACTTTAAGATCTTCTTTAAATCTTATAATGCTTTTAATAGACTCCACTATTAAATTTTCATTGCGTTTGCAACACCTCAAAATATTTTTCGGAGGCTCCATAAATTTTATATATTCTGGAGCAACGTAAAATTCTATGTCGATTTAGCTCTGTTAGCCTGTATATCTGTACCGTGGAATTACAAAGAGCTCGAACTATCAAACATAGAGTTTTATCCGCTTTGATGTTGATATTGAAAGTGAAATATAACGGTCCAATGGGATTTTAGATTTGGTAGATTTAACTAACGACTGAAAAATACTCACGAGCGGGAGAGCTCGATGATTATGAGTATTTTCAAGAAGTTTTCTCTCCAGATCGTATACAAAAGATAAAAAAGAAAAACAACAGAAGCAAGGCATTGCAAGTGGCCAGTTGATATTGTGTACAAAAACAACCCCACAACTTGTGAATAAAACACCAGTAGAGAGAATCTAAGAAATGCTCGGAAAGATAGAATCTGCTCGATTTTGAGCTCATTTTTCTCGCACTCAAAAAAGCGAATAGACTCGCTCTTATTTGAGCGACTTAGAAAAATAGAGAGTAACCATTTTCCTTTTTTTTTTACTCGCAAGAGTACTTCCGCTCAAATTTGAGTTGAGAGGGAGAGAAAATCGTTCAGAGCAATTGAGTGTAGCCCACCAAACAAACCAGGTGTAATTAAATGCTTCAGTTTATCAATGCAACAACTTTTTGGAATGGGCCTGCATTAAGGCCCCTCCTGAATTTTGTAGGTTTGGGTCCCAATTTTCAATCGAATCGACTGCAATTTAATATTCTGGTTTCTCGATGGCTAGATTAAATCCATGGCAAAAATATTCAATGTAGGTCCCCATTTTGCCCAGCATACAGGGTGAGATAAAAAACTGAAACAAAGTCAAACGCCGTAATTTTTACTTTTTTTAAAAAATTGTTAAATAAAAGCTAAAAATGTCGGAAATATCATAAAATTTTAGAATAAGTTTAGATTTATTCGAAGTGGTCACCTTTGGCACGAATTATAGCCTTCAAACGGCCAATGCAACCGTCACACGCTGTGCGAATATTGCTCTGCGGTATTTTGGTTCATTCCCGGCGAAGCGCTTGCTTGAGGTGATCGACACTTTGGTATTTTTTAGTGCCAAGCTTGCTTTCCAAAATACTCTAGACACAATAGTCCAAGGGATTGGTATCCGGAGATTTCGGTGGCCATTGTGCGTTGGAAATGAAGCGAGGAACCTCATTTCGTAACCATAATTTTAACAGTTGTCGGACGAGTGGCTTAAAAATGACAGCAGTCTGAAGTTTGTTGCAATAATGTCATCTCATCCTGCATACACTAATTAGCCCAATGGACATGACTAGATCGATTCCAAAGGTACCAAAATCGCATTTCACCAAAAGAGACATGGGATCTACATGAGATCTGCGATCGTTATTTCAATGAGGCACATTTTCGCTATACGACATAATATTTGCATACCCTCTACAGCCACATGGTTGAGGGCAACAAAAACGCTAAGTGCAAATATTTATTTAAAAATACCTATTAAATGAGTGTTGTTTTTTTTTTGCGAAATCCCTATCAATCTTCCGTAGCTAGATAATCCAATCAACACAATATTTAATGAGAATCTTGAAAACGTCATTAATAATGAAAACAAACTACAAAATATCTCCCAATTCTTATCAGCTGCAAAGCAGCACAACATCTCTTAATACCAACAATTAATCATGCAGGAAGGAGGGGATCGATCGCAATGATCTCTCGTTCTCACATGGGTTGGCTGGCTGGCTATTCCTCGAATAGGCAGATAGATAGCATTCCTACGAAGCCCCCCAACAATTGCGTAGCAATTTTTTGAATTATTTCACATTGAGTTCAGTGTGAGTGACTGAGTGAGTGGTGAGGTGTGAAGACCAGATTCGGTTATAAATTTTCGCCCAAGAAAATTCTGCAGCAATAGACCATCCGTTCGCCCGCTGCATGACGTTCTAAAATTTCTAAACATTGTTTGTCTTCTGTTGTTTTTGGAAATTTCCAAACAATATTCAATGAAATTGCACTCGTTTCATTGTTGCTGCCGCCGTACATGGCCATAAACGGATGTGAAAACTCCCAGCTTCTGTGGTACCTCAAAGAGCTGTTGTGCCCCAAACGTGCCGTGGTGCTGTTGGCAATTGATTGCAAAATCGCTGATGATTTCATGTTACACATATTTTGGTTTTGGATTTTGCTGTTTGTTGGAAATTTATTAGACCCAAGAGAGAGATTGATGGCTGTAGTGTTTGGGCGTTTGTTTGACTTGCCGTTGGATCACTCCAACTAAACCAAGAAAGGCCAAATTGTGTGTTTTTCGGTTAAAGAAAAAAAATTAGAAGAAGAAGAAGAAAAAATAACCAACTGTCTGCTGCATGTTGGCGTAACTTTCAAGTATTTGTATGCGTTTCACTGACTGACTCAACAAGCTCTTTAACAAACTCTGTGTGTTGGTTGGTTGGCCGGTTTGTCGGTCGTTTGGTCGATTAATTTATCCAACGTGTAATGATGCAATTGTTTATTTGTTGTATGTTTTTATTTCTAATGTTTGATTGCTCCACGGTATGCGGCAAAGCATTCACCTTTCGCCTCAAACCAGCATCAAACTTGATGTCGGACAGTAGTAGCGAGCAGGAGGCGCTGCTGATGGGATGTGAAAAGACTCCTCAATATATTAGGTTATTTCATTATTTTTTTAAACTTAAAGTGAAAGAAATTATATTTTATGGTTCTAATGATTATTTTCTTTTTTTTTTCTCATTACAGTGAGGTCCTAGCTGCCTGGCGTGCCAAAGCAAGATGCAATGTTGTACCTGCCGAACGTACTCAAGAACTATTTCAAGAGCTGAGTTTCCATCCAAATGACAAACAGAGTAAGTTGAATACATAATAGTCCTTTCAAATGATTTGGGATATCTTTTCATAGAGGATTTACAGATTGTTATGAAAGACATTACAGGTCAGAAGAGATCTTAAAATGTTCTCAGAATGATCAGAAAGAGATCTATGATTTTTTTCTATAAATAATATCTATAAAATATCTCATAGAAAATCTGCAAATATCCTTTCAGAGGATCAGCGGTCTTCTCTCAGTATTCCAACATTAATTCTCACAGAAGTCAAAAGATCCTCTTGCGAAATATCCACAGATTAATTCATCGAAGATCAACAAAACTCTCAGAAGGCAGACAAATATTCTCACAGAAAATCAACAGATCATCTCACGAAAAGTGGACAAATTCTTTTTATGGAAGATTCACAAATCTTCAGAATATCTCCGAAGAAATGCTCTCAATTATTTAAGAGGAGATAATCGATATTCTCCTAAAATATTTGAATTTATTTTCCTAGAAGACGTACAAATATTTCCAGAGGATTTTTATATCTTATCCTAGAAGTAAGAGGAGATTTCCAGATCCAAGAAATAAGTTTTCTTCTCAGAGGACTTTTAAAAAAAATATCCTCAAATTTTGCCAAAAAACTATTGAAGATCTGAAGCTTCTTATGGAAAATCTTCAGATGTTCTCAAAAAAAAATGTTATTTCACATGAAATCTATAAATCGCTAAATATCAAAAGATGTACTCATAGAAGAACTTCATCTTGCAGAAGTTTGACGTATCTTCTCACATTTTCTAACAAAAGATTCACAAATCTCACGACTCAAAATTTTCATATCTTTTCGGAATAAATGCCTATAAAAATCTAGGAGGAGAGATTAAAATATAGTCTTCTAAAATATTTAAACTTCTTTCCCAGAAGACACACAGAAATTCTTAGAGAATGTTTATGTCTCCTCCCGAAAACATTTCTTGGTGAGAGGGAGAGAAAACTTTTCTCTGTGAGAAAAGATTCTTAAAAAATCGCATTTTTTTCAAATTTCCATTAATGATATCTTCAGATCTTCTCATAGAAAACTGCAAAATACTCTCATAGAAAATCTGTAAATAATCTCAGAGGGAGCCTTTAGATATTGTCATAAAAACCCTCAAATCCCCTCCAAATCCCCTTTTCATAGATCATCTTCAGTTTGTTCTCATATAAGAGAAAACATTTTCATAGATATCTGCAAATCCTCTCACAGGAAATTTATAAATCATCTCGGAGAGAGTCTTAAGTATTATAAACACTACTTATCCTATCATAGAAGAATGTTTCATATATGTTCTTAAGATCCTTGTTATTCTAGAAATTTTCGGGTATAGAGATCGTCTCAAACAAGATCTGATAGAATACCTATACAAATTCTCTTAGAATATTCTTATGGAAGATTAATTACTCTTCTTCTCCCTTCTCACAGGAAATTTATAAACCATCTCAGAGAGTGTCTTAAGTATTGTTCGGCTTTCTGCTAGGCATTTTCAGGTCTAGAGATTATCTCAAGCAAGATCAAAAAAAAATTATTGTAGAATACCTACATAAATTCTCTTAGTAGACCTAATGACATATTTATAGAACATTAATTGCTCTCCTCTAAATTATCTGTCGATCTTCTCACATATTTTACTTGGATTTCCCAAAAAGTCAGCTACAAAACTCTCTCAGAGCGGACCGCCAGATATCCTCCTAAAAGACCTAAAAATCCTATCAAAGAAAAAGTACATAGATTATCTTTAGATCTTCCTTTGTAAGATCAGCAGGCCTGCTTATATAAGATGCGGCCTTTGGCTAGAAATATTTTCTAAACCAGATGAATAGAAATTCCGCCAGACTATCTAAAAACAAATTTCTTAGCAAATATTGATATTCGCATAGAAGTCTTATTTGCTCTTCTCAGAGATTATTTGTCAATCTTCTTATAGATTTCACACGGATCGACCCAAAAGAGATCTATTGAATTATCTCAGAAAGGAACTTTTGATATGATGATCTTCTCATAAATTACCTGCAAATCCTATCAAAGGAAAACTTCTCAAGGATGACTTTCAAATTTTCTCAAATAAATCTTATAGAGTTTCTCTTATATAAGATCTGAACTTCTTCCAGAAATCTTTAGGTATAGAGATTTCCTCCACCAATTTCAATAGAAAATCAAAATATTTATAAAAGTTCTCATTCTAAATCCTTTCATATTCCCATAGAAAATTATTTGCTCTTCTCTGAGAGAAGATCTGCAGATAATCTGCTCAGGGAAGAGCAATTAAACTTCTCAGAGAATATATATTTTCGAAAATCTATCCAAAAAGAAGATTTTCTTATTGGATCACTAAAGACCCTGTGATATCCTCCTACAAAAGTCTACAATTCTCCTTTTAAATATACTCAAATCATCTTACTAATTCAAAATGTGTTCTCTCTCTCTTCCACTTGCAGTTAGTGATATGTTACAAACAGCAAAATTACTGGCTCGCAAAGGCAGTCGCCAATCGAATGGTTTGACATTTGGTGAATTTTGTGTATTGGCTGCCGATTTAAAAAGATTCCGGTAAGAATTTTCACAAATCTCTCCTCCGAGCACGCAACATGATCTAAATTCCAATCTTTCTTCCTTTAATTCTTGCAGCACATCCACATTTGGTTCAACATCGCCTGGCTACTGTGACAAGACCCATTTACTGAGCTCTCTACTGGATGATAATGCAACAACTGATAGTAGCGGCGACAATGAGCACAACAAAACGAAAAAACATGACAACACTACCACAACCGCCACCACCACCACCAACAACACCACAACAAATTGCAGTTTTCCAGGAAGTGAACTGCGTAGCACAAAATCTTTCAGCAGCGTGGAAGACTGTCATAAAAACGAGAAACAGAAACCAGGCGAATCGTCGACATCCGCTCCCGTTGAAGTATTTCTGGGTGGTTCCTGTAATCCAACCACCTGGCGTGCTGATGTTGCCATACCCGCCCTTAAAGAATCAGGCATTTCATTTTATAATCCAGTAAGTCCACTATTTGAAAATATCAACTTTGAAGTCATCATTCAATCTTTTGCTCTTTCTCTTTGCAGCAAGTTTCCGATTGGACGCCAGATCTCATAGAACTTGAGCATCGTGCGAAGGAGAAAGCGCGAGTGTTATTCTTTGTTATGGATTCAGAAACACGCGCGTCTGCTGGTGCCATTGAGGCGGCACATATAGCGGGTCAAAACTGCAAGCAGCTGGTGCTGGTCCTGCATCCGTACAGGCCTAACCAAAATATACTCAACGAACATATATCTCAGCAGTAAGTTGGGAAAAATAAATAATTCATTCATAATCTAAACCACCTACTTCTTTGTAGAGAGTATATTGATTTAACGCGCAATCAATTAATCTTACGCGAACTGGTCACCCGGCGTGGTCTGCCAGTGCTCAATAATATCCCCTCAGGTCTGCAGCGTACTAAGGAAATTTTAGCCGGTTTTAGAGATCCTCCTTCGAATATAGCTTCAATTTTAGTGTGAGTATGGAGCAAAGCCCAAATAATCTCTAAACTTCAGAATAAAAAATAAAAATAATAAGGGACTAAATTGAAATTCTCCCCAAACCCCTTCTGCATTGTAATACAAATTTTCTAACCCACCTTCATCCCCTTTTCCATTCCAGTGTAATACGTGGTGCTTTTGACCGTGTCAATCCCGTGTATGAACACATCACTGTTGAACAGTGTCAACGTGCTCTCTTATACTTGGGTTATGCCCAAAGTCTAGTGAATATGGATAATTTACAGAAAATCATTGCCGCTCAACGTGAAGCTTTGCAAAGTCTCAATGCCAATGATGGCAATAGTGAGGCTCCATCCAACGCCGCATCGAACCGTGGTAGTACAAAACCCTCATCTTCGTCAATGTCGTCGAGTGCTCAAAACCAAACAAACAGCAACAGTAGACCAGTTAATGCCAGCAAAAATTTCGCTGATCAAATTGATTTTAATCTTTTCTGTGTGATATCGGCCTATTTGTCGGTATTACAACAAGAGATACATGAAAGTGGTTGTATATCACCCATTAAGGGTACCAATGTTCCGCCGCCACCAGTTTATCTATCAAATTTGCAGGGTAAGATTGAAAAGTATTCTCATTCAACAATTATGTATTGACTTTTCCTTTTTCCCTTTTCTAGGCGAGGACACATTTGCCATTACCTATTTCAGCAGCAAAAACATCTCACGCACATCCAGTAATGCCAGTGTCCCTGGCAGTGAAGAACGTCTAGCCAATTCTCACGATTTACTGGGACGTAGTCGTGATAGTGGTACCTCGTCTCCACAGCCCACAGAACCACTGCGTTCACGCTCTCAAACCCTTTTGGCAAAGAGTGCCAGCAACAAACAACACGTCTTGGTCAATGTGGAGACCATCGAAACCACTGAGGTTACCACCACTCAAACCATACAACCCCAATCTGCAGCAGCGGCAGCAGCTTATGCAGCTCAATTGGTAGATATGTCTACCCAAACTTCGGTTACCGAAGAGGAAAGTGATTCAAATGATTCGGTATTTTCAAGTAGTAGTTCCATAAATTCAATTAACTACTGTGATCCCCTGGCTGGTCTATCGGCAACTCCCGACTTTCGTGATGTCTATTTGGGTGGTAGTTGCTATTTGCGCACCAAATGGCGCCAAGAATTGGCCATACCCTATTTCAAATCAAAAGGCATAACATTTCATTTACCTTCGCTACACGAAAGTCTAAATCCCAGCCAGCTGGATTTACCCGATAAGGTGGCGGCCGAAGATGATAACAATAAATCGTCGGGCCCAAATTGGCGCATCAATAGCCGGCAACCCACATCGGCAGCTAGTAATTTTATGCGTACCCGCAGAAAATGCCGTACCAATAGTGGCACCAAAACCAATGAAGAAACTGTCGAGGAGCTAACCATAGCTGAGGAATCTCTGAGTTGGACATTGTCACCAGTACGACCGAATCTCTTTAATCCATCACTGTTGGACTCGAGTCGAGTCCTATTGTTTGTCATAACCAACGAAACACGCTCTCTGGCACCCATGACATTAGCAGCTCACTGTATTGGTCTTATGTATAATGTGGTCTTGGCCGTACAAATGTTGCCGGATGGTTGTGTTATCGGCAATGAAAAGGTAAGAGAACATTCAATTTTTTTTTTCGAAAAATAACTATAAATAAGTAAAAAAGCAACTAAATTCGGCCATTTAGAAGGAACTTGAAAATTTTCAAAAAAAAAAAAAAAAAAAAAAAAAAATCCGAAAACTACCACTTAATTGAAAACCGTTATGTTACGAAGACGTAGACCTGCTTACGATTACGATTTTTTGAATAATGCTGTAGTATCCATTACAAACTTCGAATATGAAATTTGAAACAGTTTCAGTGAATAATGCCGCTAAAATCATTAAAATATCGAATATCGGGAAGTACCGTCATATGGGGGCTATACGAAGATGTGGACCTGCATACGAACTTTTTTGCCATAGGTTGTAGTACCCATTAAGATCTTCCAATACGAAATCAGAAACGATTCCGGTGAATAATGTTGCTGAAATCATCAAAATACCGACTATCGGGAGGTACCGTTATATGGGGGCTATACAAAGACGTGGACCTGCATACAAAAATTTTTGTCATAGGCTCTAGTACCAATTGCAAACTTTAAATACAAAGATTGAATTAATTCCAGTATATATTGTCGCTGTGAATCGTATTTGATATAATCTAATATCGTTACTACGGAGTCCATATTACGGCTGTGCAGGGCAAATTCAACAAATCGGATGAACAATATATATGGGAACTATAGCTATATCTGAACCGATTTTCACCAAATTTGACATACTTGTTTCTCGACTCAATTTGGTCGTAAGTGCCAAATTCCATTCCACATAGGCCAATGTTACACTTTTGGTGCACAATTAAAGGCACTTCGGACGAAGATATATATTGGAGGTATATCCAACTCTTAACCGATCTCGATAAAATTTACCAAGGCTGTTTCTGAGTTGTATTTGTTATATTTCCCCAAATATCGTTGTTACAGAGTTCATATTAGGGCTGCGTAGGACAAAAATAACAAATCGGATGAACTATATGTATGGGAGCTATGGCTATATCTCAACCGATTTCTACCAAATTTGACATGCTTGTTTTCAGGCCTAATCTTGTCGTATGTGCAAAATTCCATACTATTTGGGCTGATATTACATATTTGGTGCACAATAAAAAGCAAATCGGATGAAGATATATATGGGAGATATATCTAAATTTGACCGATTATCTCCAATTTTAATAGGGTTCGTCCTTATTGGACTTTTCCAAAAAAGGGGGTGTGGTTTACAAATGCAATTCATTTTAAGACCTTTTGGTTATAAAAATGCTAAATAACTGCATGTTCTTATACAAGTTAAAAATGCAGCTCCAATTTTGTTCGCCTAAATATTTAATATTTTATTAATTCATTAACTCTCTTATTTTTGCTTCAATTGCAGCTCACACCAACCGCCATTAAGGATTACAATCGTGGCCGTTCCTATTTAATTGATTTGGCCAAACGCCAAGGTGTACCGGTCTTTAATGATATTAAGGCAGCTTTGGAATGTACTGTGGAAAAGATACAATCCTACAATTCCAGACGTTACGAATGAATTAACCTGACAAAAAAAAGAAAGGATGCAAAACAACACCAAGCATATGGAACAATGAATTTGTTTAAATTTGCGTTGTAACAAATGCCTTGATGCCATGTATTATGAAAACATGCCGTTTTATTTGCTAAAACAACAACAAAATAGATTTTATTGTTTTTTTTTATTTGTACATATTACATAGCCTAGAAGCGATAACAAAAAATTGAAAGAAAAGAAAATAACTATAACACGAACACCCCCTCTTACAACAAATTGATTTTAACAATTGCAGTTTTACTTAATTAAGTTTTGGTTAAGTTTTAAGCTTAGATTTTCTCTCCGGATTCATATTCTTTTAATTTTTATTTTCTATTGACTCAAATACCCGCCTTATAATACCCTATCTTTTTAACTTGACCACAAACGATGTGTATAGTACAGTGTGTTTTTTTCTATTTAGTTAAATTTAGGAAATGCTAATATTATTTAAGACCCAACACATTCAAATTCAATGCATTAACATATAAGAGAATAATAATAATTATAAATAAACAAAAAACCTAAATTAATCCTAAAAATATGCTTTGAAATTGTGGAATTATGTGATGAGAGGGGAGAAAATCACATTTATTGTTTAAATGAATTACATAGTTGCCAATCCACGATGATAATGGAGGAAATGTGATTCGTATGAAAGCTAAGCTTTTATTATCAAACAATGCCAGATTAGATAAAGAAATTTAAAGCCCAAATTGAAAGATATTTTCTTTTTTATGTTACAGTCTTGAAAATTTAAAACTGATCAAAAAAAAGTTAATTGAGGCGTGGGCGTTGAACCACAGAGAAAATTAAAACAAGTTTTTCTTGAAATTATGCTTATGAAACTGGTTATCAAAGTAAAGAGAACTCTAGTAAACCGATTTTCTTTCAAAATTGCAGGTATTTTAGTTTAGAAAAATTTGTTTTTAATCCTACAAGTAAATTAATTATTATATGAAGAAGAAAACTGAATTGAATAGAATTTTAAACTTTACAAAAAAGCTAAAACCAATTTCTGTAAAACCTGTTTGTCCTTATATCCTTGGAACATTCAGACAATTAAATTTAACTGCCGTTCATTGAAATAATGAAACTTTAATCATTTAACTAAAATCTCCCACTCGTAGCTACGTTTTCTGGAACCAAGATATATCAATCCTCATTTTATGGACATATATAATTCCTTTCAGAAACTAAATAAAAAAATGAAACATTTGCATCATTAGATGATTAATAAAAATTACGTTCATGTTTTAACACTTTACAAATCCCTCATAAAGAACGACAGTTTCAACCAAATGTGTTGGAAAATAATTCCAATATTTACCAATGTTCTCTGAGGATCCACAACTCGGTGAAGCCACCCTTGGGTCACCTCTTCCGAATGATATATAAACATTAGTCTAGGAAAAGATCAAGGTCGCTCAACACCATGGCGAAATTATACCTACAACTAGTGGTGGGAATAATCATAGGGCACTGAAACATGAGGGTCATAATGAGGAGGAAACTGAAATGGTAGAGAACTTACTTTGCCACTGTCCAACTCTTTTTGGTGTAAGACATAGACTTATGGAGAAAGAAAAATCCTTCCGTTTGTAACCCCTCAAAATATTCATGATAGACCCTACAAAGTATATATATTCTTGATCAGTTCGTTCGTTTCGTTCTTTTGAACAACTTAAGATAGAAAGCTAAAATTTTGCACACACTTGTATTTTCCCAGTATGTAGGTTAAGTTCGAAAATGGGTCATGTCGGTTCACGTTTTCGTATAGCCCCCATATAACGGTCCTCCCGATATTCGGTATTTTGATAATTTTAGTGACATTATACACCGGAGTTGTTTCAACTTTGGTATTTGAAGTTCGTAATGGATACAACAGCCTATGACAGAAAATTGTCTATGCAGGTCCACGTCTCCGTATAGCCCCCATATAACAGTACCTCTCGATATTCGGTATTTTGATGTTTTAGCGACATTATTAGCCCGAATTGTTTTAAATTTACGGTTATACAGCCTATGACAAGAAATGTCGTATGCAGTTCCACGTCTTCTTCTATTCGGTATTTTATTAATTTTAGCGACGTTATTCGCCAGTATTGTTTCAAATTTCGTCTTTGAAAATCTTAATGGATACTACAGCCCATACTTATGCAGGTCCACGTCTTAGTATAGCCCTTGGATAAAGGTCATCATTATAACTTAATTTTTCGGAATTTTTTGAAAATTTCCAAGTTCCTTCCAAATAATGATTTTTTATTTTTTAATTTTTATAAATTTTTTTTTGAACACATTGGACACAGACTTGACCTAACACGCTCTGAAAAAGTTGAAAACAAACCGGAAAGCACATAACTGTTGTTATAAACTTTCTTTGGTTTTGGTTTGGTCTTTGGATTTATGGACTTGATTATATTCTTCACTTTATATGGCATATATAAGCGGTCTGCACTCCCTTCTCGCCTATTTTTCAATGCAATATAACCTGATTTTAAGTTTTTATTTAAAATACTACAATCTAGAGTATTTGATACGGTCATGCGCAAATTGACTTCATACATATGTCTTACAACCCATTTTGTCGAATTTTAGATATATATTTGTACAGTCCAAATGACTGATCCAAGATATTTTAAAGATTTCAGTCTAAATAACAACCAGATTAGTCGAGGTGTATTTCGAAGGATCCAACCAAATTGGCAGGAATCTAAGACTTTGGCATTATTCATGCCAAAAATATATCAGAAAGGTCTTAGCTTTAATTTGAAATCGAATTAGTTGCAATGTACCATTGGGGGCTCTTTTTAAGTAGAATATCTTCCAGTCCCAAAAGGTGGGTCCAGATTTTGGGGGTTTTAAAGTTTCTTTTCCTCAAATATCGAATGTATTGGTTGTAGATATTAGCCGTATTTTTTCAATATTGGTCCACAATATAAAGTATAGTTTAGTTTAGTTTAACCTTTAACTTCTGAGGTGGTGGTAAATTTTACCCTCCCTTCACATTTTCTTCTATTACGTTGAATAAAAATTTTGTTTACATAAAAAAAATGTTTTTTTTTTACTTATTGTAATCTAAAATATACAAGCTTACTTTAAAAAAACAAATTATTATCAAATAAAATTTTTAACAAAGTTTTTTTTCTGTAATATTTAGAGGGGTAAAATTTACCACCACGTTATAAAATATGTCACCTCAAAAGTTAAAGGTTAAAGAATGCGCGGTTGTATAAACAACGACTCCACTCGGAGATCTATTGGTCCGTTGTATTCATCCTAATTTAAAGATGATAGGAGAATAGAATAAAGAGAAGAGAAGGAAATGAATAACGGATAGTGAAGAAGCGAGGCCTATGTAAACAATGTAGATCCAATTACTAAGTATAAATACATAAAAGTAAAAACGTTGATTATCCGGAGGTACCGTTAATGGGAGCTTAAGTAAAACGTGATCATGGAACATAGACATGTTTTTGCTAGAGGAAATAGTGACCATTAGAAGTTTCAAATACCAAACTTCAAACAATTCCGTTGGAAAATTTGGCTTCAATCATCATAATACTGAATATCTGGGGTCCATTCAACTACCTATATACACCACTTTCTGTCTGAAAGGTTGGTATTTATTAAGAATCTTAAATACCAAATTTCATATTCCGTCGAAATGTGTGGCTACAGTCAACAAAATACCGAATACAGGGTGGTACGTTTCTGTGGACTTGTTGCAAATTTTTCCTACTTATCCTACCTTGTCATTATTTTTGTGGAATTGAAAATTAGGTTCCTATGTGGTACAAAATTTTCAAATGCATAAAAAATTCAGACATTACATGCATAAAACCCATCTATGTAGACCTTGGAAAAGTTAATTTGCGTCTTCAGGTTATGTCCAATCATCTTTCTTTTTTTCAATCAAACCAACGTTATATTCCACATTATTATTTTAATTTAAAAATTGCAACGGCAACCCTTTGATGATCAAAAACCACAGTTTGAAAACTACAATAGTTTCATAATACGTTTGTGGTTAGAGAAGGATGGCATGCGTTAAGCTTTCATGAACACTTGTCAGTTACAAATGTTCTCCATCGGAAAGGCGTGTATGTCAATCTCATATCCACTTTTCTCTTATTCGCTACTCTCCCTCTCTCTTTGGGGGTAATCATGTGTCGGTGAGTGTTGTTGGTGGGGCAAAGCTTAAAAACTACGATAATTTAGCTGTCCGCCAGTATACGCCAGTGACGGTCAACGTTTGCATTGTGTTTTCATTGAGTGAGTTTAGTTAAATATTTTTTTCAATTTCGACTATTCCAACGGGTTGTTGCTGTTAAACGAATGCTGCTGAAGCTGTTGTTGTTGATGAAGATAACTGAAAGACGTTTACTAAAGTGTTGTTGTTTTCGGGTTTGTTTATTTTCTTATTTTCCGGTGATCGCAAAGGCGGCGCCTTCCGTATCCTTAAACATTAAAAAAGTGCAAATGGATATTTCAATTGAATAGCCGCTAAACCAGTGAAATATTTATGCAATCCACAACAAAATCAATTAACCGAAAAGAAAAAGTAGACAAAGAAGAGAAGCAGAAAAGAAAATAAAAACAAAACTTTAAATTTGCAAAACAAAAAAACAACGGTGGGTCGGTCGGTGGCTTTTTGGCTTCGTTTGTTGCGTGAAAAAGACACCAGCGAAAAAAATTGAGAAAATTCACCCAAAACACAAACTCTTCTCAGAGAAATATGAGACCACGCAGAGAGAGACCCCAACACAGACATCTTTAAGAGTTTATCTATCAGTCTTTCTTTCCACCCATATGTAAATTTCTTAGACCATACCGCTCGCTAGTCGGCGGAATTTTACAGCGTGGTGCTGTGTTTTTTGGCATTTTTTTCGGTTACGCGACAGTTTAAAGTTTTTTTAACAATAAAATTTCATCAAATGTATGGAGATTAACGTAAAATAGTAATTACAGAAAAATCCAACCAAGTGTAACCAAATTACCAAAGAGACTTAACAAATATTAACAATAATAAGTAATAAAAAAGGAACAACAACAAACCATGCCATTAACACTAGCAGAACTACAATTGTGTTGTCTGCATTAGAGTTCAGTCAACTGCTGAAATAGACGAGTGAGAGCAACAAGACATTAATCATTTGTGTGCTCCTCTCTCATTCGGTGAAGAAAACAAAAACAGACTTGCAAAAACAAGAGTCTTTGACAAATCTTAAAATTCAATGTTTCTTTTGAATGAATAACGTATTTTGCCCCCACCCGTACTTCTTTGTCGTACATTTTCAACCATCAATGGGTCATCATCTGTCCGTCTTTATTAGCACCCCAGACCAAGCACCTTCAACAGATGTTTTGTTTTGAAATGAAAGTGAAATGTACTGCAGAATGTGAAATACAAAAATAAACTTTAATTTATTTTTGCAAAAAATTATTTTTTTAACCATCTCTCTCATTCGTCATCTCGTTTTTCCGGCTCTCTCTCATTTTCTCTTGAACAAACAAGTGTTTGCAAACTGTGAATGTAATATTTATTTAATAAAAAAAATATTGTTATTCGAAATCGCACCATACATACAAGCAAACAACAAAAAAAAAAAAAACTTAAATGTATCAACGTAAAAGTATGTAATCAACAATAACGCCACAAAGATAGACCCATAATAAATGTGATTCCGAAATCAAGAGAGACGTTTCCCCGCTGTATGAAAGCGCTACAAAAACACATACGTAACGTCACAGACGTCGTCCATTATCGCTAGTCGCACAAGAGTGATGCTAATTGTGCGATTTTTCTTTGCATGATATTGTTTTATGGTGAATTTACAAATACTGTCTCAGAACTTTTTCATGACAAAACCAGTAAGGAAAGGTAAAAAGTCGGGCGGGGATGACTATATGATACCCTACATCACTATGCTTATTTAGTAGAGCAAATCGGATGAAACATATATATGGGAGTTATAGCTTTCTCTGAACCGATTTAAAACTAAATTTGGAGCACTGGATTTAAGACTAAATTAAGTCGGAATTGTAAAAGTTCAGTCAATTTGGGCTGATATTAGCCAAACCTGAAATCCAAAAATATATATATGGGAGCTATATCCAAATCTGACCCGATCTTGATAGAATTTTAAACATTTATTTCTGAGCTGTATCTGATATCTGTATCTGATATCTGGTGGAGTACATAGTATGAATCAGAGGAACACCAACTCAGAAGAAGCATATATATGGGAGCTACAGCTATATCTGAACCGATTTTCACCAAATTTGATGTACTTGATTCTCGACTGAATTCGGTCGGATGTGCCAAAATTCTGGTCATTAACCCAAAATCGGTTGAAGATAAATATGGGAGCTATATCTAAATTTGTACTGATTCTCACCGATTTCAATAGGGTTCGTCCCTGAGCCCAACAAAAATTGTTTGAAAAATTTCATCTCAATCGAATAATAAATGCGACCTACATTTTGTTCACAAATATACATGGATAGAGGGACGGACGGACGGACATGCCTAAATCAACTCAAAAAGTGATTCAATGAAGATACTCAAAAGTAACTACCTCGCTTTCTATCTTGGAAGCTATACTTACACTTAAAACAGGTAAAAACTCAGCTAAGTTCAGCCGAGCCGAACTTTTAATACCCTCCATCATTTGAAAGGAACTAGAAAATTTTCAAAAAAATTCCGCAAACTACCACTTAAATGAAATTTGTATGGGGACTATACGATGACGTGGACTTGCTTAAGAATTTTTTTGCCACAGTCAGTACCCATTACTTTACTTTACTTTACTTTAAATTTGAAACAGTTCCAGTGAATAATGTCGCTAAAATCATTAAAATATCGAATATCGCCACGTGAAACTGCATACGAAATTTTTTGTCATATGCTGTAGTACCCTTTTACTAACTTTAAATACGAAATTTGTTACAATTCCGATGAATAATGTAGCAAAACGCATGAAAATACCGCGTATCGGGAGGTACCGTCATATGGGGCCTACATGAAGATGTGGCCCATTTTCGAACTTAACCTGTTTAATGGGAAAATCTATATGTATGCAAAATTTTAGCCTTCTATCTCAATTCGTTCGAAGGATAGCGTGATTACAACAGACAGGCAGACAGACAACATCGTTAGATCGTCTTTATTATACAAATCCAGAATATATATGCTTTGTAGGGTCTAAATTTATTATTTCGATGAGTTACAATTGGAATGAAGAACATAATATACCCTTCATACTATCAATGGTGGATTGAATAAAAATGTTGACCTCCGATAGTCAAACAGTCAAGAATTCAAACTAACTGCGGATGGCTACGAGCGCTGCCGGCTCATCAAAAATCTACACTATTTTGGCCCTTAGATCCACAGATACCAGAAAAATTCCACACCGTTCCTGCAAATATAGCGCTGAAAGCATGTATGAAACCTTTCTCAAAAGTAACTCTTGATTTTTCCGATCCAACACAATTTATGACCAAAGAGCAAAGACGTGAAATCGTTAGTGATGGCATGGCTTGAATTAATGTGATATCTGAACTTTGAAAACCTTAAGAATCAAGTCTAGGCAAAATACGTTGAACTGACTTTTGTAGAAAACTCAATTCCAAAAAGAGCGACGTGCAGGGATTTATTCTTCACATCACTAACTTGTCCCTACATCTCTAATTTTACACACTAATTTCTTTCTTTTTTCAAAATTTTTGTTAAAAAAAAAAGAAAAAAACTCTTTATACCTTAGCAATCTTCATTCCATCGATTTGCGTCCCACTGATATAAATCTTTGTCATATATTGAGAAAAAAATGTTTATTGTATATTTTCTGCTAGAACGACGTTTGTATAAAGCTCAATTCCGAAAAGAGCGACGTGCACCGGTTTATTCTTCACATCACTAACTTGTACCTACACCTCAAATTTTTCCACTAATTACTTTATTAGGGTCCACTGATTACTTTATTGTTTAAAAAATGTTTATCCCTCCGATATCCTAATTTCATCGATTTGGGTTCCACTGGTATAAATCTTCCTCATATATTAAGAAAAAAACACTGTTTATTGTATATTTTCTGCTTCCGCGATTTTTTCTTTTAAGCCACTGTACAAGTCAGAAATTCACATATTCTTCGTTATATTGACATTACTGTTTATGGTGAGGCGATGGCATTTATTAGAGTGCTTTATTAAACGGGTTGAATGCTCCAGGCATGCAACAAGTCTTGTTGTTTTCATTTGAGAAATTCTCAGAGAATGTAATGAAGAGTTAAGGAGAAACAGACACAAAGAGAGAGAGAGAGAGAGAGACTAAGTACGGATGGGAGCTTAATTTAGTTAAGTCTTGTCAGGCCACATCGACGGAGCAAACAAACGCCAGCCCCAAAAAGATCAATCGGTGTTCTTCTTTTAAACATTCAGCCATTGAATCGCCTCTTCGTCATCAACAGCCTAGTAATAATCAACTTACAAAGGTCCAGATTCCATAAATTGCATCTGGGTGGACATTGCGGCACAGTCATATGCAACAATTAGTGTGCAAGTGTTTGCATGCAAATGGAGTTGTGTTTATAAATATTTAATAAATTCATTTTATAAAAGAGGGGAAGAGATCAGCCGCTGAGAGTAACCTAAAAATTTGCCAAGCAGCATCACAACTAAATAAACTAACTAAAATAAAACAACAACAAAGTTAGACAACTGCTACTGCTGGTCAGTCAAGTGAGAGTGTGTCGTGTGCGCAAAGCGGTGAAATCAAAAAATAATAAAATTAAAAAACAACAAAATACAACAACAAGCTAATGGAATAAATAATAAAAAGACGAAAATAAAGAGAGAGAGAGAGAGAGAAAAACATTAAAAAATACCGTGAAAAATAAATAAAGAAAACAACAACAAAAGTGCTGTGTAAATGATAAAGAATTTCATGTCCGTTGTTTGATTATTTTAATATTAATATTTGTGTTAACAAGTTTCTTCTACAACAATAATAACAACAAATAAATAAAACAATACAAATATTGAAACAAAACAAACAAAGCATCAGCTCTTTGTAAATATCTGCTCACAGTGTACGGAAGAGATTTCAAAACCCGTTGAATTGACAGCTGAGGATATCCTTCCGGAAACGCCCCTTCGAAAAAGGATTTTGCAATATACCTCCATAGGTATTTCAACTTTAAATTTCGAAAGCAAAAGTAAGTACATAATAACAAAAGAAAAACAACCGTTCAAATAAGTAGACCGATAAGAGCCGTCGCGACATTTGATATCTATTCGACCCTCATATATATTTTCAAAGATAAACAACACCGTCGAAGTCAATAATTTATTGATGTGAGTCATATTTTAATTTGTTATTATTCTTAAAGGAACAAAGGTGCCCAGACCTATGAGGTTCACTGTCTTTTCCTTGCACGATATATGTTCAAAATACATTTGCCGATCATCGACCTCCAGTGGCATATTTCAGATACTTCGATTGTATATCTTCTATATCTATAAAAAGGGAAAATGCTTGTACGTTCGATTATTTGTTTGTAATTTATAGACTCAAAATCGCTTAGAAGATTTTTCTGAAATTTTCCAAAAATGCTGCATCATGGCCTAAAAATAACATAGGTTATATAAAGGAGGGTATATAAAAGGAGGGTATATTAACTTTGTCATTCCGTTTGTAACATCCATAAATATTCGTCGTTGACCTCTATAAAATTCTAAGTCGGTTTAACGATGTCCGTCTGTCTGTCTGTTGAAATCACGATACAGCCCACATTATTTGACGTAGAGCTTCAAAATTTGGCAGAACAATTTGTATTATGTCTAGGATGGTTGGTATTGGAAATGATATATATCGGTCACGTTTTGTTATAGCCGCCATATAACGGTATCTCCCGATATTCGGGTTTTCGATGATTTTAGCGACCATATTCAGCGGAATTGTTTCAAATTTGGTATTTGAAGTTCGTAATAAATACTGCAGTCTATGACAGAAAATTGTCTGTGCAGTTCCACGTCTTCGTATAAACCCCATATAACGGTACCTCACGATATTCGGTATTTTGATGATTTTAGCGACATTATTCACCGGAATTTTTCAAATTTGGTATTTGAAGTTCGTCATGAATACTACATCCTATGACAGAAAATTGTCTGTGCAGGTCCACCTTTTTGTATGGCCCCCATATAATTGTACCTCCCTATATCCGGTATTTTGATGATTTTAGCTACTTTATTTAACGATTTCGCATTTGAATAAATTGATTAAAGTTGCCTATGCAGGTCCACTTCGTCGTATTTTTAACGGTTTTTATTTTTTAAAAATTGCCAAATTCGTTCCAAATGGTGGAGGGTATTCAAGGTTCGGCCAGACAGAACTTACAGCTTTTTTACTCGAAATCGGAGGTACCTCTAAAAAAATTTAATTTTTGTATGTACATATCTATTGATAGATTACAGATGCAGTCTTCAAATTTGATCAGCGTAATCAGCTTAGACGATTTAGCCCCGTCCGCCCGTCTGTTGTAATCACACTCGAGTCAAAACGAAAAAAGATAGGAAGCTAAAATTTTGCACATATCACTATCTGTAGGCAGGTCAAGTTCGAAGATTGTCTATATCGGTCCACGATATCGTATAGCATAACATAAAAAGCTACCCCCCGATAATCAATGAAATGGTCTGAAATTCCAATAAAGGGGTTCCTTCTGAGTACTTTGCAAGAGTGTTGTCTATATAGGTCCACAATATCGTATATCCGCCATATAACGGTACCTCCCGATATTCGGTATTTTGATGACTTTAGCCACATTTTTCAATGGAATTGTCTGAAAATCCATAAAAGGAGTTCCTTTTGAGTAGTTTGACCCCTGGAAGAGAATTGTCTATATAGGTCAACTATATCGTATAGCCCCCATATAAAGGCGCCCCCGATAGTCGATATTTCGATGACTGTAGCCAAATTTTTCAATGAAATTGTCAGAAAATTCACAAAAGTAATACCTTCTGAATACTTTATCCCCTGGAGGAGTATTGTCTATATAGGTCCACGATATCGTATAGCCCACATACAACGATATCCCCAGATATTCTATATTTTGTCGATTTTAGGGACATTATTCGCTCGAGTGGTTTCAAATTTCGTATTTAGAATTCGTAATGGGTACTACAGTCTGTGACAAAAAAATAGCGTATGCAGGTCCACGTCGTCCTATAGCCTCCATATAACTGTACCTCCCAATATTCGGTATTTTGGTGATTTTAGCTACATTTATCACCGGAGTTGTTTCAAATTTCGTATTTAGAGTTCCCAATAGGTACCTGAGACAGAAAATTGTCAATGCATGTCCAGGTCTTCGTATAGCCCCGATTTAACGGCACCTCCCAATATTCAGTATTTTGATGATTTAGCTACAGTTTTTTTTTTTGAATCGTCTGATTTGAAAATTTGCATATCTATAAGACTCATTACAAGACATAGGTAATAACTCGTCCATCTACCAAAGAAATATTGAAAGTCTTCTATCTATATAGAGTCTTCAAAGGCTCTTCTACAAATATAATGTACAGATTTTATGGTACAGTCATGAAGAAATATTTAAATTTTTAAAACATAATTTGATTTCATGAATAATATTACTTTTCTTCTTGAGTTAATTTTTTTAATTAACTGGTTTAATTAGGTAACGGAAACATTTACAATCTACTAGTTGCCATTATCAAAAATGTACCTATTTCAATATTATTATCACAAAAGTGTGACCCATCCAAATTATCTAAAATTCATGTTCATTTGCATTTCAAAACGTCGAGTCATTGCCCATTAACTTTTGGCAACAATTTAAACAAATCTTTTTTTCCAAAAAGGTTTCAAGACTTTATGCCCTCTGGCGGGGCTCTATCGCTACTCACAATAAAATCAATTCAGGCAGCCATCCAGACGTCTGGCTATTCGTTATTCAAAGTCACAACGACAAACACAATATCAAATAGTACCACACGTTTTTTAAGCATGTCTGGCTAGACCAAAAAAGAATTGGTTATTTTCCATAAAACCTGTTTGGTTCCATATCTTCTTTGCTTTGATGAATGATGAAAGGTAGCAGCATCTCAACATGAATAGTTTGAAATCAGAAGACAGTCTTGTTTTTTCGTAACTGTTTTGTTTTTAGGTTCTCCTTTTCTTAAAATATCTGCATTTTTTTGTGAATCGTCTGATTTGAAAATTTGCATAATTTAGAAGCCAGTGGTTCGAAAAATGTGGGACAAAGAAAAACATTTGCAAAACTTTCTTTTTCGCTTTTGTGTTATAAACCTTTCTTAAATTGTATAATATAAATATGAAACGTGCTTGTTGCAGAATTAAAAAAAATGTTATGAAGAAATTGACAAGTAAACATTTCTCCGAAATAAAAGACTTCCTCAATTTCTGAGTTACAGCGTAATTGGGAGAAATATTTCCAAATTGCCAATCTAATCTGGATAACTTGTTCAGACACCTTTTTAATCGGTAAAATTCTTTCATCGATCGCAATAAAATACCACGGCACTTCGTTTTCTTGGCCGCTATGCAACTAGGTATGTGGCTATGGTTTCTATACTATTCTGCGTATGAGTATTGTCTTTATCTGTACATCAAAATGAACTGATTAAGCAACAACTGTTCGCTTGGTTCATATAAGTTAGATTAGAACACTGAGAGAAAAGGGTAGTAATTTACTCTACACTATAAAAGAAAGGGATAGATTTGTCCGCCCGTTTGCAACAGGTCGAAATAATTGGCTTTTGGAAAGTTGGCCAAAGATCCACATTTAGTAATTTTGGAGAGGAGATCAGCCAGAAGCATTACAAAAGCTACCAATGCATCCAGAAAAAGTCAACGTTTAGTGCGTTTTATGATCGCACTTTATCTTCTTTTATTTCACGTTCGGAGCAGCTCAATTGGCGCATTGATCGATGCAACGCTTTTGGACATTGTTTTTGGGGCTACGCATGTCTCTACAGACGAGCCCACTTCAACTTCGTATTATCAATTCAAATAAAGATTTCATACATTTTTCTGAATTTCATGATTTTTATACCCTCAGCCATATCATCTGGTCAAAACGTGCTTTGTCGAAATAACGATTTTAGACCCTAGGCCTCTTTGGACCAAATCCATTTCAGGAGATTTGCAGTCGATCTGGCGATGTCCGTCCGTCCGTATGTTTGGCTGGTGCGCACGATAACTCTCGAAGGGAGAATCCTATTGAGTTCAAACTTGGTACATCGTAATATTTTTGTCAAACTTAGATAGAGTTCGGAAATGGGCAACATCGGTCCACTCATTTTGGTACCTCCCCCATAAAAGTTGGAAATTTTCAAAAAAATATTTTATGGCAAATTAATCGATTTTGCTCCAACTTTGCAAATCCTAATATTTGCATCAGTGCTAGGTCAGGTGCGAAAATGGACAATGTCTACCCACACACGTCAGGCATCTCCCTTACAAAGGGATATAACTCTTAAAAAATGTGTTGTGAGAGTCCGATTGCCTTCAAATTACACACATCACAATATTTTTAATAACTCAAGATCTGGCGTGAAGATGGAATATATCGGTCTACTCCTTCTGGTACCTCCCACACAAACGGTCAAAATTTTGAAAAACCATGAAGCTCATCAATCACCAAATGAGCATCCTACTCTTTTGAAAATAGTACATCCCAATACTTCTACTTAAGCAAGATCTGGTGTAAAGATGGTAGGTATCGGACTACTCCTTCAGGCACCTCCCCCACAAAGGGTCAAAATATTGAATAATTATAACGTTTATAAAACTTTAACTTAGAGTCTGATTATCTTCGAATTCCGCACATTTTAATATTTCCACTAACACAAGGCCTGGTATGAAGAACGGATTGAATAGACCACTCCTTCTAGTACCTCCGCCACATAGGGTAAAAATTTGGTATCACCATTAAGCTCATAAAACGCGAAATGAGCATCCGATTACTTTCAAACTCGACACATTCCAATACTTCTCAAGAACACAAGATGTGTTGTGAAGATGGACAATATCGGACAACTCCTTCTGGTACCTCCCCTTCAATGGGTAAGAAATTTTAAATAATTATAATTCTCATAAAACGCGAACCTTTCGAAATATTATGAAATGTTGCATTTAAAGTAAAACAAGTAGTTGATATAAAATCCAAGT